ATTCTCAAACTGCTTTACAGTTCTAATCCTCTCTCAATAAAAATTCCAGTGGGCTTTTATCTTTTTTCTTTTGGAGAAAACTGATAAGCTGATTCTAAAAGTTATTTAGAAATGAAAAGAGGCTAGAACAGACAAAATAACTTACTGTAAAGCTACAAAAATCAAGTCAGTATAATAATGCAATAAGGGCAAACATAAATCCTTAGAGCAAAATACAAACGTGCTGATCTAAAAGTGAGACACATATTTCAGTAAATGATGTATACTTAAGTGCAAAAACAGACAGCACAGCTCTTAACTTACATCATACACAAAAATTGATTTTAAAAAGTGGGCAGACCTAAGTGTAAGTTTAATCCATAAAGTTTCTACAACATAGGGGAAAATCTTTGTAATATTGAGTTATGAAAAGATTTTATAGGTAGCACAAAAAAAACTATATAAGAAAAATTGAATAAATTAGAAATAACAAAATTAGAGCTTCTGTTCTTTAAAAGATAGTTAAAAATTAAAAGAAAGTTTATAAGCTGCAAGATAATGTTGAAAACCATGTAGCATATCCAGGATAAAGAATTATTATCACTTAATAAGATTATTGATTTAAAAAGGCAGGTTTGAATGGACATTTTACAAAAGGCTGTTGAATGTAAAAAAGGCAAATAAGCATAAAAGAAGTTCATTGACAGAAAAATATAAGAAATTGTACTCGAAGATATTTGCCCCAGAGAAATGAAGGCATATGTCCATATGAAGGCTTGTAGTCAGTAAAAAAATGCAATGAACCGCTGATCACACAACAACATGGACAGATCTCAAAGTATTATGCTGAGTAACAGCACATATGTTGAAATTCTAGAAGTGAGAAATCTAATCTTTAGGGTGAGAAGCAGACAGGGGGCTGTCCTGAAGTGAGTGTACATACGGAGGACTGAATAGGAAGAGGTGTACAGGGAACTGTCAGGTGATGGAAATAGTCTGTCCCTTGATGGCGGTGGTGGTGACATGCATGTGTACACTTGTCAAATCTAATGTAACTGTATACTTAAAATGAATTTCATTTTACAAAAATATATAATTTTATGGTACATAAATTATACCACAAAAGAGATGACTTAAATAAAAAAAGCTGAGTAAAGCATTTGTGTTTTTTTTAATCAAATATTCCTTCTCTTTAGAACTTCTATGTGCAACTTCTCAAATTAACTTGGTGGGTAAAATAGCTGTGTGATATTGGACAAGTAAATTATTACTCTGAGCAAAGAAAATTCCTTCAACAGTAAAATGAGTGACTTAGATTTCATGACTTCACTAGTTCATTCAATAAATACTTATTATAGCTACTATGGGGCAAGCACTATGCTAAGTTCTAAAGATATAAAGCAGGAAAAGAAACTATTCATGACTTCAGAGAATCATATTCTAATGGGAAAGAAACACTAACATATGATTATAATACAACATATGTATATGAGGGTTTGAGGAGCAGCCATAGCAGGAGCAATCTTCCCTGATGAACACCTGAGCTGGGTTTTGAGGTACAGATCAAAGAGAGAAGAGGAAGCATCCCAAGTGGAGGGAGAGGTATGGGCAAAGGAAAGAAGGCAAAAGATACATCTATGTTAGGTACTTCAGGTAGCTGAGGAGGTCTAGAAGTTAAAAAAAAGTGTAATGCTCTAGCATGAGCAGTGTGTAGATGGGATGCCACATCTACTGATATCCACTCGGTGTGGGTCACCCACATAAAGAATAAGCACCATCACTTAGAAAAGACAACCTTTGGGGTTATGTAACAAAAAGGCCCAGTGGGAAGGGAGCCCAATGGCCAGTGATTTGAACATGAACAAAGACAAAGAGCACCTTTTCACGCTCTCCCTGCAATGCTGCAGATACTCAGACCCCACATTCTTTTTATCACGCTGCTTTCCTGAAAGATTATGCCAGTCTTGTTCACAAGTTTCATTAGCTTTCACTGGATGTAGAGCTGGCACTGATCCTGAAGCAATGCCTGTGGCCAGAGGGATGGTACATGGTGATTGCTTGGCCAGCCCAGAGATCTTAGGAGTAGGAGTGAGCTTCACTTGAATTACACCAGGACAGGGCAGAACTGCAAAGCAAATTCAGTCTTTGTGGAAGAAGAGAGATCAGAAATGGGGGAGGAGATTATGTTTCAAGAAAAACAGATCTCAACAACACTGGAACAGTCAGGGAATACAAACACATGGAGAAGTTTTTCTTGCATCTTCCATACATAGATAGGATGAGTCAGTGAAAACTGCCTTGAGACTATAGTGACAATCAGAACATGCATACAAAAAACTCTCACTCAGTATTATAATTACCCTATGAATGGGTGAATAGTTTTATGAGAACAAAGAGAAGGGAATAATTCTAATTTACAAGCGCTGGTGTGTCTTCACAAAGCGGAGATCTTTTCAGTGGAATCTGGACAAATGGAAAGAGTCTTTCTGGCAAAGATGAAATGAACAGCTATAGCTGGTTGAAGACCAGCACGCAAATCTGTTGAGGCTGAAGTACAGAACAATGGATCAGTGTTGTAGGAGCACAGAGATGGAAAGACCAAGCTGCAAAGAAGTATTCCTGCCATGCTACAGGACCTGGACTTTATTCTCTAAGCAATGAGGAACAATAAAATTAACCCAATTAAATCTGCGCTTGGAGACATACAGGAGTAGACTAGACACTTTTTGAAACAAGAATGAAGAAATTAAGTATAGAGGATGACACTAAGTTACAGAGTAGAAGACTGAGTGGGGCAAACCTAACGACCTCTATGTCTCCTGCAGTACAGGAGAGCACATGCTGAGTGTGAAGTGGTGCTATGCTATTAAGACAAAATGGAAATTTCAACTGGCTACATACTGTACTACTAAATATTCTGATCAAAAAGGTTATTAAGTGAACTTCTAAATATAAGGTCGTAAGATATTAGCTTAATGAATGAACTGAAACCCAGGAGGGCCAAACACACTGCCGTAGGCTATTTCACATCAGTGCCAATTGCCATAGGTAGGAGAACTCCGTATCATTGGTCACTCGGCCTCATGATGATCGCCAGCAGAGCAGATGTGAAGAGGGCCAATGGTCAAGAGGAGATGGCAAGGGGAAGGAAGCCAAATGAGGTCACATGAGGAGGTGCAATTAAAGGTGGAGTGGGTACGGCACCCACATTGATTTTGGGGTGCAGACTTAAAATTGCTGCCTAGAGCCACTTGTACCAAATGGAAGAACCTGCTCTGTCATGGTTTATTCATTTTTAAAACAGACACAGTGTCAATTTTAAAAAGAAAAATAATACCAATGCTAATGAAGTTAGGTATTATTCATAAATTATCTTTTACCACTTGATCTTAAAATGTCATAAAATTAATTACCAACAATATCTTATATTTGTTTGATGCTTTGGAGCTTAAAATATCAATTTCATATAAATTTTTTCATCTAGTCCTACACAATCCTGTAAGGTAAACAGAGTAGGTATAATAATTTCCTATTGCATGACTCCCTCACTCTACCCCCAAATTATAGACAATAGAAATATAATTAATTAGGCACTTATACCGAGAACCAGACTTCTCTAATCTGCTAGAACAGATTTTTTTTTTTAAAAAAAACTTAATATTCTTCTAAAGAAAGAAGCAAAAGATGGGCATAGCTGTACACATTTGGCAATAACCATTTAAAACACATGATTTTCCTAAAGTTTCTGCCATTTATAATAGCCATAGTTGAGTGCATGAATGTGCATTTGCACAATACATGATTATAAACATGTAACTTCAAAAATCAATAAAATGGAGTTTATTAAGATTCAATCCCAAATTAAATTATTATCTAGTCCTCAAGAGTCAAGTCACCAATTACCAGATGAATATTTAATAGATACTTTGAAATTTATAAACCATTCCAAACTTCATCACACTTGAAGGCTTGTGCTAAATTTCATACTTTTCCTAACATATACTGTCAAAAATAAAATATTCACAAAATATTTTATGATAAAATGATAAAACTCTAGCCAATCAATAAGGGTATTAATTACTGAAGTGATCAGCATCCTGAATTTGAATCTAAAATTGAAAGACGATTGTTTTTTAATTTTCTCAATATATTATTATTCTATGTCATTGAAATAGTAGATGACGTAAGGCCCTTTATTTATACTAAGACGAAAAGATTGGATGCCTTGCATAATACCTTCTAGAGTAAATGTCTATTATCTACTTGTGGTTTCTCTTAGCTTCTCTTAGTGTTACTGGTAAATTCTGTTAAACCAAGCTTCAGAAAACCGGATATAGTTTTGATTCTTCATTGGCTTCGTTCCCTGGGATGTCCTCCTTGTATTCTTCCAAAGAAACAGAATCTGGTCCCATGCCTCAGCAGTGGCAAGGCTTCTACACAAGACACAGAAGGCTGACAAGTACAAAGGGGTCTGCCTATAACTACCTGCCTTTTAGAGAGGAAAGAAAAAGGTATTATCAGATGGAGATAATTACATTTGCTCCTTCCCAGGAGAAACATTTAAGAGAGAAATAAAATGGAGAGGAATCTTGAAAATCCTCAGTAAGTGAAAAGTAACTAAAAATAACAAAGTACATTGAGATTTATGTGTTTTTCAAGCCTTCACATACCACATCTCATTTCTGCTTCCGAGTGAAGAGCAATTTATGACAAACAATACATTATCTAGGGATAAATTTATAAACTGTCATAAAAGAATTGCCCAAGAAGCTACATTAGCTCTTGAAGTTTATTATAATATTTTTAGATCTTATTGCATATATTGTTACATGCCTTTTACAAGTTAGGATATCTATCTATCTATCTGTCTATCTATCTATCTATCTATCTGGCTATCTATCTATATATAGTGTACTCATTTTAGCAGAAGTTATTTCTATTGCTTCTCTCTTGAAACCAGCAGCATGCAACATAATATTTGGTGTGCAGTTATTGTTTCAAAAACTGAAAAACTACTTAGCTTTAATTGAGGAAGGAACATGATCTTTATTGGCTTATATGCAAAGTTTAATTTTGGTTTTATGCAGGGTTTGCATAGTTCATGATTAGTTTCTAATGAAAAACTTCAAGTGTTGTTAGTGACCTTGAAGAAGATCAGGTGACAGTAGCAAACAGAAAAATTTGAAGAAGAGGCATAACTTTTAAAGTAGAAAGGTCAGCAAGAACTGCCTGAAACAAAACAAAAACAAGAACAAAAGAATTATTAATAACAAAGTCTATGAAAAAAGGCACAACAGAAACACCATCACAACCTAAATTTTGCATCAACACCTACTCTCTGTTCTTCAGATTTGTCTCAAATCCTCGACTCTACAACTTTACTTTTCTTTCTTAAATCTCTTAATGTTGTTACATGCACAAAAGCCAAAATGTGCAGTAGAAAATAACCTAGACCTTAGTCTTAAGCCTTCTTCAAATATACAAGGTAGCATGGGTTTATAAGAGGTCTAACATTTCAACTTGCTTCTATAAATAACCATAATTATGAATCCTAGACCTGTTATTCTAGTGTAAGGAATAACTGACTGTGGGAAATCATTCTGAAATGGAACTAACATTTATTCAGTTGCAAGATACATAAACATCCTCTTCCCTTTAAACGAGGCCTGTAGCAGCTATTTTTAGGATAGGATTTATATCTGTATGAAAGATAACAAGTAGAATATTACAGTAAGCACCATTTAGTTGAACCATATTTTGGGTACAAATTATACCATTGAAAATATACCAGCCTTAATTAACTCACAATTAAAAATAACCAAAAAAGCTTATATGTCGTTACTATGCCATCCACACATGCACTCTTTAACTTTACCAACTAGTTTTTCTTTGTTCTGAGAGTAATAATCTGTGGGCATGAATAATTAGAAAATTAATTTTAGCTGCAATAGTTTCAATTCAAATTCCTAGGTATCTGGTTTCTCCAAATTGTTGTAGTGGTTTCCTATAATAATTCTATTTATGACCTCTTCATAAGAAAGTTGTTTTCAAGTGATTAGGGAATTTGAGAACTTAGCATTACTTAGCTTAGAACTTATAGGTTTTCCCAGAGTTCAAAGAGTCAGCCAGCAACAGTGTGTGCCCTGCATCAGACACTAAACTGAGTGAGCCTGGCAGTCTCTCAGGAACTATTTCCATCCCGTCCGAGTGAAACTTATCCTTACTTCAGCTGCAGCCAGTGATGTCACCTCCATCAGGTTCACTGCTCGGAAAGCAAACACGGCAGCTGCCAGGACTGGAAAAGAATGCACACTATTTCAACTGTTGGCTACCTCAAGATCTGGACACAGCTACTGCTATGGCCACAGGCCATGAGGAGACTCAGTCCTGGGGCTTCACACAGCTGCAGCCCTGCACTCTGAGGTATGGACTCATAATGAGTGGAGAGTCCACTTACCAGGACAGTGCCTGATGGGTCACAAGCTCCAATCCCACTGTCGTGGGGAAAAGGCAAACCCAGTAGCCCCACCAAGTCAATTTAAGAGCCAGGTGTGGTGTGCATGCCTACAGTCCCAGGACTCTGGGAGGCTGAGGCAAGAGAATTGCCAAACTCTAGTCAGTGGGGACAATTTAGTGACTCAGCAGGACCCTGTCTCAAAATAACAAAACTTTTAATAAGGGCTGAGGCTGTAGCTCAATGTGCAATGTTGGGTGCAATCCCTAGAACTGCCAAAACAACAAAAGAGTCATTGTAATAATCTGTTTATTTCACAATGAAAATTATAATAGTTAAAAATGACATGAAACTCTAGTAACTGTCTTTTTTTTTTTTTTTTTCCGTTTTCGTTTTTATCGGTACCAGGGATGGAACGCACGACTGCCTGCTTGCAAGGCAGGCGCTTATGCCGCTGAGCTAAATCCCCAGCCCCTCTAGTAACTGTCTTATAAATTGAGGTTTATTTTGACAAAGCTGTTTCTTACTAGTGCAGTGGAGACCAAAATTTTAAATATATGAGAATGTAGTACCACATATACCAAGGAGGTGTGCTAATGTAAACACGGTAATAAAACCTTCTCTTAAAAATGTTTTATAACATTTTATTATACTTATGTTTCTTACATACTCAGTCCTAACTTTCCTAGTGTCACAAATAGACTTGTATGGAGAGGGTTACTGTGGGAATGACATTAATGTTGGGTAATGACTGTGGGCATTTACATTAATGTTGGCTACAAAAAAAAAAAAAGAAATCATAGGAGATTTTCAAGTTTAACAATATTCACTAAATAGGAAACATTGGGAATGTTGTCATTAAACACATCCAAAGGAAAACAGTTATGTTAAAATGCAGTACCTATTGATATATAGACTAAAATAAAACTCCATGTTAGAGAATGAATTATAGACAACAGAAGGCCCCATGTTAGAAGGAGGGGATCCTCATACAGCGAAGGTATTGCCAGAAGATAAATTTTGACTTCTTTTTTTCTATCATTATTGGTGAGAGTATAATCCCTATCCATCAAATTACTGAAATTTACGAAACTAATGGTAATAAGTTCTAAAAGTATTTGGAAGACTATTTCTTAGCTATATTTCATTGCTAACTCAAATATGTATATTTTAAGATATAGTTTTTACTATGAAAATAATAATAGCAGTTAATTCTGACATGAGTACTAGGAATTAAGACTGCTTTGGGCCATTTTAATAATGTAGAAACTGAGGGACAGTGAGCAGGTGACAGGCTCAGAGTCACACGGGCAGAGAACAGTGGTGTGGACATGCTGCCTGGCTCTGAGGCCTGTGCTCTAACCCCCAGGTGACCACCACCGAGGCTGGAGGTAAACAGTACTGACTCGCACCGAGCCAGAAGCCTGCACCTTCCATGGGGGCTGTCCTCCGCTGCCCCTGCACAGTTTTCCAGGGAGGGCGTGCACGATGCTATGTGGCTCGGGTCCTGACGGGAAGTGGTGGTGCCTGGCAGTGGAGCCAGAAGCCAGGTCTGACCATCTCCCCAGACAGGGCAAGGTGTAACCAGTGACAGGAGGCTTAGCACCCTTACTAGGAGATGGGAGATTCGGGACAGGTTGGCAAAAAGCATTAGAACCAGTGAGGGAGGAAATCCTGGAGAGAGAAGAGAGCGGTAGTAAAGTAAACTTAAAAATCCGGGTTAGCTGGATTATTATCACTAGATAGCAAAGAATACCAGATATCTGGAACAAGGAATTTTCTTTTTAACCAAAAAGAAGAGTATTTTAAAGTTCTGCAGCTCCATATTTACATCAAAGGAAACCATTTCTGTAGGGCAGCAATTTTTCTACAGCTTTCTAATGTGCAGAGTCATATTTTGGTCAGTGGAGATGTCTCAGAAGCTAAAGTATATGATCTCTGCTTTCCTTCTGGTGTCGAATGAACTGTGTGGCTGAAAGCTTGACAAAACGTGCACATTTCTGCTGTAGCAGGAGTTTTATACAGTGGGAGACAGTTTTTACAAACGTAGGTTAAGGCCGAAGGTGGGGTGGGAGAGCAGTTCACTTACTGACCTCGGCATCCAAAACGCTTATGTGCTCATAACCCCTTATTTACCTTGGTGTCACATCACAGAAGTTCCTTTCTATCTGCTTCATGTTTACTTTGCCCAGCCCTTTTCAGAACAAGTTTGTTTGCCAAGGAGACAAGAGCTACACTTGGGGTGTTTCAGCTGAAATCGTGCTTCCTATGAAATACAGGAATGCAGTGCAGGGTTACAGGGCCTGCAGGAGGCTCTGGGTTAGATCCTCAACGCCATCACAGAGGAGAGGGATGGGTGGAGACTAATATTTGCTTTTGGTATTTTAATCTATTCTGATTATTTTAATTCTAAACAACTGTATCATGAATATTAACATACCTTGGTTTAAACCATTTCTCAAAAGGCTCTCATTAACAAAGCCAGTGCCATTTAAAATTTTTTTCTGACACCTATATAGCAATTCACTTGATCAAAAAAAAAGGTAGTCTCAAAATACCCATATCTGAAATGCATAAAATAATCAAAACTGATTTTTGTACTTCTACATGAAATTATTCTCGAGGCTTTTTATATGAAGCACAGGACAGGGAACACCCATTTGTCTAGTCCCATTAATAGATGTTGTAGAAGTCTTCTCTGTTGATTTTTAAAAAAACACTCAGAGAAAGTGGGTGGATACAATAGTTTGAATGGCATTTGATACCCATTCACCACCAACTTATTAATATATTGAGCTCATAGCGGAGTGCCTGACTTAGAGCAAATACCGTATTCGGCATATATTTCTTCTTCTTTCAGTTTACTAAGTAATAATGAGGCACAGAATAAGAGAATTTATAGTAGAAGAGCCATTCCAATATGTTTTCAAGTCAATCTATCTTTTTAAAATTTTATTTTGAAAAGAAAAAAAAACCCCAAAATTTCAAAACACAAGTAGAAGATAACAATAATTAATACATTGCACATAGTTATCTTTAAATTAGTTACTGAGTACAGGATATTGGCATTTAATTGTCTAATATTAGCACAAGTCTTTCTTTTCAATGAACTAAGAGAAATTAGTAGTATGACTGTATTAACTATCACATATATTTACATTTATATTTTTTTCTTTCAGCTTCTCACACTACCAATCAATCTTTCAAGTCATGAAACTTCTTGACTCTTTAGGTGATAGTTAAAGAGCTTGTTAATAACTGGGAAAATCCCAGTTATTAGAAAGTACTATCTTATACTATTCTTTCTTCTAAAATATTCTCTAACGTTTTTTTGAAAAGACAACAAATGCTATTATGATACTCAAAATTTCTGGCATTCCAGAAGAGAGTTACTAGTCAAAAATCTTGTTATTTGAAAAGGGGTACAGCAAACATTGCTGAGCCTGGAAAACAGACTTTGAAGAGAAGTGGGGGGAGATAAGAGTGGACAAAAATGATAATGACCTTGGTTTAAAAGGGGGACATTTTAACAACTCATAGTACCCAGAAATGAAGTGGGCCCCTTGCTAAGACAGGGATGACCCTACTCTGAAGCATTCAAATAGTAAGCAGAGACTCATCAGAAATGTTTGAAGAAGTTATCGCAGATGATCTCTAGTAATGTATCCCTTCTCTCCCTGCTCCCTCTCAATGTAGGCCCAACCAATTCTACGCAAAATGTATTTATATGTTAAAAGGGACAGGCCATTCTTTCTTAACTAATTGTTTGTATGTGATTTTAAAGTGTTGAGAGAGAAGAATCTAGTATTGTTAAGAATGTAATTGAGATAGTATCTGATTAAATCAAGGGTGAAATTTATTTACAAGGCACTTTGTTTTATTATAATTTTCCCTTTCAAAATATCACCCAATTACTATAGCCTTATCCACATTCAATAAAATGTTAATATAATACCTAGAGAATATTCATGCCACATTTTTCTTCAACTATGCATTATTCCACAGTAGCCCAGAGAGATGACTTTAAATTGTTAAAAACTTTAGGTTTGAGGTAGGCAGGACCACTCTGCCAACTTTCTGCTCTTCATCCATTGTTGTGACAATATTCTGATTATTATTTGAGTATCTTGATAATCCTAATGATAAGAATAATTGAATCTACTGCACACCACAAAGCAAAAAAAATAACTAGTAAGAAACACGTGCCTGGTGTCTTCCTATATGATTGCCTTGATATATACCTGTTGTACATACTACTTAATTATTAAATAGAGATGAGTCTCTGGCTTCCTGAGAACAAGAAGAAATATTTTTGGCATGAGAGAATAGCTAAAAGGAGAAATTCAGCCACCAGGGTGGAGGTCAAATACTATTAGCAAAAAGGGAAAGGTTTTCAATTCAGTATGAACTGAGACCTAGAAGAGCTGAGATTTCAGCTATGTGGGCCATGAGGCTTGTTCTCGGTTTGGATTTTAGGCAGTTGCTGAGAAGGAGCATGGCACAGCTAGCCAGGTAAGCCCAGAGCAGGCCAGGAGCACACCTCTGCTCTGCTGCAGGAAGAAATGAGCCCCGCCTACTCTAGAAGAGGGGCCAGTGGAAAAGGCAGATGAGGCTTTCCTGGGAGCCAAGAAAAAACAAAACAAACAGAAAAACTAGACATACATTGGTTTTAGTTTAGACAGAAGTATCAGGAGAGCAGGATCTCAGGCGCTTGAACTTCTAAGCCAGATGACCCTAGTGAAGATTCATGCATTACAAGTGACAACTACAGATTCAATCTCCAATTACAGACAGTGACTATTAAAAAGAAATGGGCCTTACTATACAAATGTGTGTCTGACATATAAGCACTTACTCTTACCAGCAAGAATTTCCAGAGAGTTGTATCCTAGGATTCTATCCCACAATAGCAAGAGTTGATCTGTAGCCAAGTATCCAGAGAAAGCACGAACCATCCACTTAAAGGATATACGAAGTCTATAGCAAGGGAAAAAATGAAATTTAGTTTTACCGCTGTGCTTTTTTCTTACAGAAAGGCAGTATCAACTGATTCTGTTGTTAAGGCGTCTCTTTTGAGTCTTACAAATCACCTGGACATTTAAAACTTGAGTCCTTTTCTAAAATCTAAAAAGCACAGTGGTAAGAAATTACCAGTCCTCAACTTAGTGGTCTTAAACTATTAAGAGGAATTGTTTTTCATGCTGGGCCCTTCTTCATGTTGAATTTGGCCTTCATAAATAAACTCACATCTACATTATATTTTTCAGAGTGTGACCAATTTGCTGATTTTTAAAAGTCACAATACTTAGAATTTTTATTCAAAATACCTGCAAGACTGTATAATGGCTTTGTATTTTTTCAAGTAAATAATTATATCATTGTATTTCAGTTAAATGGATAGATAAAACAATAGGGTATTTAAAGGGCAAATAATTTTAAGGTTACAGGAGACCTTAGAAATAGATTTTTTATTTTAAATTCTTCACTTTAGTAGGGTTATCAGAACTTCACTTTAGTAGGGTTATCAGAACTCTGAAAAAACAATGAAAAATTAAATTCCATTCCAAAAAACAAATTTACCATCAACAAAGCAAAAACAGAACCCCTAAAATATATGAAATCTCAATATTTACCAGTAATATGTTAGATTCTCTCTGAACTCAGGAAATGAGCTCTTTTGTTCTAGAGCCCCAAGAATCAGTACCTTATATTTTCCTACTATCTATGAGCATATAAAAATTCTTGACTGCCCCCAAGAGGTGCTAGTCAAACTGTTCTGATATTATTTTGATAAATATCTATACTATTCTCTTAAAAGAGAAAAACAGACTTAGAGATTATCTTATATTGATTCTCTTAAAACTGCAAAATGAAAAAGATCCCCAGGTTTCAGAAATTTGAATAACCACTGATCTACTATAGCATAGCAAAGTACATTTAGGCAGTAGTATTGATAACATAGACTTTTTGGTTGGCTTTAAAATGTCGCTAAGCCTGCCTAGCAAGCATGAGGTTGTAAGTTTGATTCCCGGTACAAAAAATCTCTTCACAGATACAAAAAAAACCCAAAACAAAACCCTACCTTTTGGCTGTTGGGTACTTTAATACTTAAATAATGCATTTGATAGCCAGGCATGGTGGTACACACATGTAGTCCTAGCACTTTCGAAGGTTGAGGCAGGAGGATCACACATTTCAAGCCCCAGCCAGGGCATTTATCAACTTGGCAAGACTCTCTCAAAATTTTCAAAATGGGGGGCTGGGATGGCAAAAGCCCTGAGTTCAGGCTTATTACTACAAAAATAAATTGACATCTAACTCTAAATTATCTTCAACTACTTTTATTTGTTCAAATTCTCACAGAATTTTATTAGAGGAGTATCTCCTCCCACACAGACAGCAGAGCATCCATTTTACAAGGAAGTTACTGAGTATAACACCTGTGTAGTAGGAACTGCCCTTACAAATGTTCGCTTGTACAGGCTTTGTATGAGGAAGACCCAAATGAAAATTATATACAATGACCAAGAAAAAAATCACAGAAAACAAACAAAAAGTTACATTACTGAATAGATCTGACAGAAAATGACTAAGAATCAGTGAACTCGAGTACAGATCAATAGAAAATGTGCAATCTGAATCTTAACCATCAGAAGAAATCAGGAAAAAAGGATTTAAAAAATTAATACAACTTCAAGGATCTATAGGACAATTATAAAAGTCTTAACATTTGTGTTAATGCAATCCCAGAATAAGAGAAGAATCACTATGGTGCAGAAAAAAATATTTGAAAGAATAGTGCCTGAAAACTCCCAAAATTTGGCAATAGATTCAAGCTCAACAAGCCCCAAACAGAGTAAGTGCAAATAAATCCATGCCTAGATACATAATAATCAAACTTTATCTGTAGCTAAGAACTAAAAATAAAGAACTTGATAGCAACCAGAGAAACACAAGAATTAAAATTATCTTCTCTTGAAATGGTTGGTAGAATTTGCTAGTGAAACCAGACAGGTCTGGGCTTATTTGAAGGTAAATGTGATCTTAAAAATAATACATATTGTAAATTACATGATACCTATCAAAAAATATTTTAGAAGTACAAATAATAATTCAACAGTGAAGATAAAATTCTCAATTTTCAAAATAGTAGAGATAAAATGCTCAATTTTCAAAAGTAGATAGGAGAAAAAAGTAGTAGAGAATATATGGAACAAATAAAATTCTACCAAGATGATTTCAATCCAATGGTATCAGTTACATTAAGTATAAATGACATAAACACACTTCTCAGATATAAACATACTTCCTATATGATCAGATTATCATACAGGAAGGCTCAACTATACTTTTGATTTAAAAAACCTACTTGAAAACTAAAAGAATTGATGTTTGATATGTTAAAAGTTAAAGAACAAAAAAGAATATACCGTACAAACTGTAATAAAAAAAACTGGAATGGCTATATAATATCAGACATAGTAGAGTTACTAAGAATAAAGGTCATTACCTGGTAATAGGTAACAAATCCCTAAAAACAGAGCTTCCAAATACATGCAGTAAAAACATATGTAATGGTGGAGACAAAATTTGTAGAAACTCTCATATCCCTCTCAATAATCAATAGAAAAAGTAAAAAAACTTTAATAAGGAAGTGGGTAAAACTATATAGAAGGGTTGGACATTATTAACAAGTCTGACTTTGTTGACATTTACAGGACATGCTGCCAGAATGTGTGGAACAAAAATTCGTTTCAACTGCATGTGAAACACATGAAACATCTGACAAGATGGATTATATTTTGGGTCAAAAAACAAACCTTAACGACTTTAAAATAATTGAAACACTATAAAACATGTTGTCTAACCAAAACAGAACTAAAAAAGAAATCAAAGGCAGAAAAATATAATACATTCCAAATATTTATATTCCAAATAAATCAAGCAACATACTTCTATGTAACCCATAGTAAAGGAAGAAGAGAATTTTAAAAACATTTTGAATGGAATGAAATTTTTTTTTTAAAAAATCAGAATTTACTAGTTTGTGAGAAAGCGGTACTTTGTGGGAAATTTATAAATGCTTTTTAGAAAAGGAGAAAAGTCTCAAACCAGCGACATAACTTCTATCTTAAGCAAGTAGAAAGACAAGAGCCAAAGTAAACCTAAAGCAAGCAGAAAAAAGAAAATAAGTGAGACCAGAATCTAGTGCAAATGAAACAAAAAACAAGAATAACCACAAGAGAAACAGAAAGTAGTCCTTTTAAAGATGACTAAACATCTAGCAAGAATAATCAAGAAAGAGAGATAACATAAATACTAATCTCTGTAATGAAAGAATCAAAGCCACTATTGATCCAACAACTATTAAAAGGTAATTAAGAGTAATTATAGGATATTAGGAATTTAACTGATAAAATACACATAATTACTGACATTCATTCAAACAGAAAAGGATAATCTGGGTAGTCCTACAGCTGTTAAAGTAATTAAATTACAAATGTTTTAGCAGGATGAATTTTCATTTATGAAAGTCTTTTAAAATTAATTTCTATCCTCTAATTAGAATTTTTAATACTTTCTTTTACATGAGAATTTTAATGTATATCATAAGCTACTGAAATACGTTTGTTCCTCTTAATAACCAAAGAGTATAAATAGAAAAAGGAATAAACTAAGTGTCTTCAATTTGGCCTCTTTAAAAAAGCCTAATATACTCCAAAGTTCATTTCATAATAGTAAAAAAAAAAAAATAGGTTAACTCCCTACAAGTTTAAGAAAAAAAGATGTGCTCGATATAAAATATTTCTGCTTGGGGTCTGGGATATAGCTTGGCAGCACAAGCACCTGCCTGGCATGTGTGAGGTTATGAGTTCGATTCCCAGTACCAATAAAATACAATAAAATATAATATAATAAAATATTTGTGCTACATTATTGTCCTATAATCTCAATCAAGAACAGAATATTTTCTTTTTGGTACTGGAATTTGAACTCACAACCTTACACTTACCAGGCAAGTGCTTGAGCCCCGGCCCCTAGAACACAATCTTATTTTTAACAGCTACAAAGGAAAGAATATCAGCTCAAAATTACCTATGGGGGATATGAATGTTTTATAATTGGTTTTCTAATCTAGAAGTACTTCATCGAAAGCAGATGTCACATACAGACTTTTACACAGTTCTTTATCTGTGTAGAAATAACTCTGTGAGGTAGATAAAGTCAATGAAAATCAATTCCTTTGATTTTAAGATAAGGAAATTGCAGCATATATGAGTTCACAACTGTCCTGGGATTGCATAGCCTAATGAAGTGAAATGGGAAACTATTGAGTTAAACTTACACACACTCCCATTCAACTGTTGTGGAGAAGGCAGACACTGCATTGTTCTTTTTCCATTAACTCCTTTTGTGGTCACAAATAATGAGTTCTCTTATCAAAAGCCCTCCTTAATTGGGGAACCTAGGTGCCCAGTAGATGGGAATGGACACTGATTAATTGTTTAGCATGTCCTGTTGCTTTAGATATTGTAATTTAGGAGACACAGACCCATAGAAGTGAAGCACAAAACCACTTTACATATTCATCTACAACTCTCATTGGTATCAGTGAGTGAAATCCAAACTTTTGCAAGGAGAAATCATAGTACAACCTCTGTAGGTAACTGACCTGCTCTCTAACCAAAGACAGCAAACTTAACCTCCGGGACTGTTGTAGGTTGAGCCCCTACAGATTTAGTCCAACCTCACTAATTTCAGTGTTAGCACATTTTTCAGGGTGCATTTGCTTCCCAAATGTTCACATCGGTTTTGAGCTAACACTTCTGATTATGAACAGAAATTAGCTCATTTTGGTGATTCTTGTCCCAGACACAAAAAATCCTAGTAAGACTTTATAAGGATTTTAGTAATTCTTTCAAGAATTTTTAATACAAGATAGTTACAATTTACTACTTGAAAATCATTGTTTCATTGGGGAAATTGTTAGTTTAATTTCTCTGAAGAATTACTGCATTTTCACAAGTGCTTTACAATGGTTAAAAAAAAAAATAGCTCTCCTGTAAAACTATTCAGTTAGGAGAGGAAAAATACTCACGGTTGAGCCCCAATTTCCCGTAGATGATAAAAGAGTTGTGGAAGATAGGTTTGAAGAAGGGTTTCAAACAGCAAACAGAGTGACACAATACCCTGAATAGAACAATAAGCCACAGGAGAAATAGATTGTTTAGTATTTAAACATTAATTATGCTAATAAATTATCCAAATAGAAAATAAGACTATGAACACAAATATTCTTTATACAGTGTAAGAATCAAAACTGGGGATACACTAATAAAGTTCTAACGCTGTATTTACAGTTACATTTCATGTCTTTCTATGTGTCTTTATACCTAGGGACATACTAAAGAGTCACCTTTTGCTGGCACATGCCTGTGATCCCAGTACTTAGGAACCTGAGTCAGGGGAACTGCTGTGAGTTTGAGGGCTCCATCCACAGTGAAGTTCAAGGCCAGCCTGAATTACTGAACTACATAGTGAGACCTCTGTCTCAAAAAAAAAAAAAAAAAAAAAAAAAAGTCGCATTTTAATTACAGTAAGTTCCCCACAAAACCCTATTAATGCTTGATGAGTCCAGGCAAACATTATGTTACAGAAAACATACTATTTCTTGAACTACTTAGGCCTAGCAAAATAATTTTTTTTTTTTTTTTTAACACATGACAGTTTTCAGGTATTTGCCTGGTGCTGAGCCCTGCCTTCCACTCAGTACGCCATGTCCCAGTCCCCTCACTCTCTGGAGAAATTACTCCTTCCCTCTCTCATCTGTCTCTGGAATCCACCTCTGAAAAGACTGATGCTGGCTGCTTGAAATTCGTATGAGGAAGTTTTCAAACAAGAATATTTGATTAGGATAAAGTTTTTGTTTTTCCTAAAATCTATTTTCTTCAAAAGGGCATTATTTGTAAATTGTGATAAGTAACTAAGCTGATGGCTTTCAAGGTTATTATTTGACGGCTCTGAATGAAGTCTTTCTTCCAGCTTGGCATTCCTCTGGGTTGATCTTAGGAAGGAGGTTTTAATCTTCTTTCTGAGTTTCTGAAGAAATAAGGCTGTCACAGTTCCAAACAGCTCAGCCTGGCTGCACACCAGAAGAGGAGGTGACTGCTGTTTTATTCCACTGAGTTGACAAAGGACAGGCAGGGCCGATCCCGGGTGGCAGCCTGCAGACCAGGGACCTCCAGAGCACACAGTGTGGGGTGTGAGCGCCCCACAGCCACCCACTGCAGCCGGGTATGGGGTGGCCAGGGTTTCAAACTTGGGAACATAAGATGGTACAGAATTGAAAAGTAAAATTCTGGTGCTCACAAAGATATTGTATCAGTATTTACTGTTAATGCTTCTGATCATTCTAGATTACATGTTAACATAAGATAACAGCTAAATCATGTTCTCCTAGAGACGCTCGAGGTCGTTGGTGGTGCTTCATCTGTTTATATGTGACATCCTGATTCTGCCATTCGTCAACGTTGGCTAGCCATGCAGGAGAACAATACTGGCTACCAGCAAAATAGGATAGGAGCACCTAGTTTTAAAGTAGGAAGATAAAAAAGTTCTTCAGCTCAGCAGTAGTCACATAGACGACCACGGAGAAATTTGGTGGCCCCGATATATATTCCATTATTAACCTCATTTTATGAAGGAGGAAGTCAGCAGGTAAGCATCTTGCCAAGGATAAATACAGCCTTTCTGTTTTTCTCTTAATATATTAAATGTAAATTTAAATGCAGTCAATAAGAGACCTTGTCCCCTTTTATTATTGAACATTTAAATATCATTCTTCTGTTCTTTCGTTTATGCTACAGAAGTGTTTGACATTATAAACTAAAATCCGTTGCTTTATAACTTAATGGCATAGGAGACTTCTTATTACAGCAAAGAGCAGATCGCAGTCCCATTTGATCCGGATTTTACCGACTTACAGAGGGGTGCGAGGAGATGGAATGCAGTCTGAAGAAGAAGCGCACGTACATCTCGCGGAACGTCTGGTACAGCTTGTACGGTTCATGGTACAGAAAGCAAAGCGGCGCGACTGAAAGAGAAGAAATCCACGGATGACTGCAGAGCCAGCACAGCTTCAGAATAAGCCCATGGAAACGAAAGTATCAGGGTACTTAAAGAAAACCAATGTGAGTGGTTACTTATTAAAATAGCCAATATTATAGAGTCAGATACACCTTCGGGGTGTGAGTGTCAGAGTTTGAACTCATGACCTCAGCTTGCTAAGGCAGATGCTTGCGCCGCTGAGCTATGGCCCCAGGCCCTGTCCTACACATTTTTAAAGAATAATTCATGCTCTTTAGGTACACTGGCACATGCCTGTCATCCCGGCAACTGCGAGGCTTACGCAGGAGGATCCCAGTGAGTTTGAGACCAGCCTAGAATACAAAGTGAATTCAAGGCCAGCCTGAACTACACAGTGAGACTCTGTCTCAAAAAAAAAAAAAAAAAAGAATGAAAATCGTGTTCTAATTGAAGTAACAACTTTAAAAAGGCAACATAAAGCACCAATACTAATACATGGCATTAATACAAATTTAAAATGAAAGTTTTAGAATTTATATTTTCAAAATGATACATGTAATATCCTCTAATTTGTAACATTTACTGACATACAAGAACTTGTAATATGAAAGTGATTATTGTCATTGCTGAAATGCTGAGAAATTTAAAATAAAACATTTCTACAAATATATAACACAACATTGTAACAACTTTTGTAATCATTTTTGAAGATATCGCAATTACTTATGTTGAATTTCCATATGTAATTATAAAATGGAGAATTTGTAGTTTATTACATATAATATGTTAAAAATCTATTACTTAACTTTTTAAGTATCTCTTTCTATTGGTTCTTCCACAGAAATGTTTTGCTTATTAACTTGTACTGTAGGAATTTATGAAATTATACTACACACTTATAATCTGTATAAATGGGACAAAAAACAGCTCAGAGAAAAGCTTTAAATGGATTTTTTAAAAGTGGTAATACAGCATACAGAAATCCAAACTAAAGTGGCAAAGTCCTAACCAGGGTCCCTAAGTCAATTTATTTATTTACTCAGTACAATTATTATTATTATTTTGGTACTAGGAATGGAACTCATGACCTCATGCTTTCCAGGCAGGCACCTGTGCTGCTAAGCTAAATCCCCAGCCCCTCCCAGGACTGAACTATAATTATTTTACTATATTGATTCTAACTAGCTGCTCCTAAAGTATTTGTGAATGCTTAAAACAGTTTTCTAAACAGTATACATAAACTCTATATCAAACAGATTACACAGTGTACTGTATTTCTTTAGCAAAGAAATACACTTCCCCTTGGAAGTATAAGTCCTAGCCTGTTAAATGATCATAAATTTGAATAGGCAGAGCCTGACTCAATGATGAATTCTGAACAAAGAATTGTTAGATTTAAACTTTCATGACATAAAATATCTTTTAAACCACTCAAATACACCTAAAAATGTTTACTTGAAAAATTCTTGCAGTTGGAATTATTCAAATAAATACATAAAAGAGCTTACACTTTTATTATTAGAAGTAAAAGTTTATATGCCTAATATTTTAGATTCTATTTTAGAATCTGTTTTAGATTCCTCATATATTTATAAAAGAGAAATACACTGCAAGGCCAGTGTACTATTAAATGTTATGGAATTTGCATTTAGTACATTATAGACTGTAAACATCACTGAGATAGCATCATGCACAGCCCCTAGCACCCTGCATCTTTTTCATTGTGTCCTCAGTTTAAGTTTTATGTCTTTGATTGAGTGTCTGATGTTCAACATGATGGTGCTTTTTACAAATAAAAGCATTAACTTCTTGTTACAAAGATAAAACATTAAAGTGTTTCTTTTTATTCTAAAGGTAAGAGGTAGAAATAAAGGGAACAACAGTAAAAAGTTTCTTTGTAATATATAAAAATTTAAATCTTAAGTGGCACTAAGGTACTGGGCATTTCCCTTGCTATCCTCATTAAGCTTTTCATTCTTCACTCAGTGACAGCGTGAGGACCAATGGCACTCAGCTCTCAAGCCTGCAGATGTTTTTTTCGGCAGGCGACTGAACGCTTTAATGAAACTGTTGCTGTGCACACAGGAGTCTACAGAAATCCTGAGCTCACATTGTCCCTTATGACTCCTTCTGACTTATTATTTTTTAGAAAAAGATTCATGTAAGAAATAATTCAGGGATTTGGGCACTCTAGCTTAGCGCCTACAGCTAACTATTACTGGGTATCTGTATTCTATTGAATTATAAGATGGTAAACTTCAGATAAATTTCTAATTCTAACCTGTCAAACACCTAAAATTATGATGACTCTTTATTTTCAACTCTTTAATTGGACATATTAACAAATTCTAAACTCTATGTTTAAAAATGTTCATAATTTGTTAAGTGTGGGGGTGATGTGATAACACAGTATTCTTGTTTAGATTTCCTAAAATGTAATAAAAACAATATTTTAAAGTCCCACTTACCATACATTGAAAATCCATGAAAAGGGATTACACCTAAAAGATTAAAAACAAAGTTTCTTTTCAATAAGCAGCATAGCTCTGCTGGTTAGGCAAACTTAAATGGATGACTACGGCTATTGCCTATTTTTTGCTTCAGCTTTGCTCAGGAATATCAGAAAGACTTAGTGATGGTAACTGTTAAGTTCTTATGTACCTTTAGCAAAGCAAACTAGAAGTTAAGATGTATGTCCCACTAATTTTCTACTAACAATATAGTACAATTAAAAGCTGAATGTGAACACACACACAGACATATGACAGGGAAGGTCATAGATTCGTTTAAGAACTAATGACAAAGGTATGACAAAAAGTCAATAGATGGTGTCCCTTCTGAAACAACTTCCTTCTGCTTATTAGAATCCAATCTGCTAAAGGACTAGTAAGCTTTTCAAGGCACTTCTTTGAAAACATGGCTTTAGAGAAAAACACCATGATTGTTAATAAATCTACTAAAAATTACACAATGGACGTAGGTTAGAAGAAAACTAGGCAGAAATATGGCCCAAAGTCGATACTACAATCTTTGGCAAGAATTATACACAAGTAAAGTAAACATCCTTTTCAAAGAAATATGCAAAACTTAACTTACTGTGCTAAACATCTTGTCATATTCTAAGTGAAAATGTACAGTCTAGGTTCAAAACAGAATTTCTTTAATAAATACCACTGTGTATCTAACGGTGCACTAAATTAGGTTACAAACAGTACAGGAGAAAGCTGAGAAGTTTCCTTTTGTGAAATATAGTACAGAAATGCTTTATTCATCCAACTTGTTCTGAGGGAAATCTTAGTGCTGGCAGGTCATCTAGGGTAAATTCTATGAAACGATAGTTGACTTTCTGCTTAAAATATATCCAAAAGTAGAGGATGCATTAATTCCTAACGTTGACAAGGTTTAATTTGGGAAGATTTACTCCAGTACTGAATCAAATACTGGTTTCCTGTAACACCTTTTTCCTATTCCTAGTTCTGACCATAAACATCACAAAAAAAAAAAAATGTATGAACAGCAGTAGATTAAAACATTTCAGGAATGTTTGCTGTGCCCCAGCTCTACTGCCATCAGTTTTTGCTTTACGTCATTACGAGTTTCTTTAGTTGTTAGACAGAGTGGGCTTAAATTGCTTTCCTGTTTTATTTCGCTCTGGGAAAGCTGCAGTTTACCACAATCCTTAAAGTAGATGACTAAAATCTCTTAAGTATTTTTCCTCCTAGGTACCCTACAGCCGAGACAGTGCATTTGAGCATTTGTTTCCAGATCGAAGTAAAGGATTACATTCTTATCTGTCACATTTCTTGTTTTGTGAGCCATTCCCATTGAAGATAATGCTGAGTTCCCATTCTGCTATCTATTGTGTTCCTTATTCTTCTTGGTTCCACATTACTGGAAAATTTGATATGCATACTATCTATGTTCTCATCTAAAGCAATATAAAATGCTGAACAAGACAGGGCAAGGGCAGTAATTGTCATTAGAAACCTCCTTTCATGTTGGTATCAGTTCATTAATCAGCACCATACTGCAATAAGGCAAGAGCATGAGTGGGTGCCAGCCAGACTTGCTCGGCTTCATCTGGCTTTGTCACTTAAAAGCTTTGTGTACCTTTGGGTAAGTTTCTTAGCTTCCCTAAGCTTCAGTTTCCTTATCTGTAAATCAGAGATAAAGTTAGAAACTACGTAGTAAAATTGAGATAATGGCTGTAGCTTAGCCATTAATAAATACCTTGGGCCTGTAATAAATGCTGATTGTTGGTATTAACATTCACAAACTAGTTCATATTTCTTTGTTTTTTCTAGAATTGATTTTATAAAAACAAAGTATGAGGAAATCCAGTCATAGTTCTGATCTAGTTTGCCAGGCCAACCGGCTTCAGACATTTGTGCAGGTCACTTGTAAGCTTTGTGATTCTCAAGACCTACCTTTCCCTATTTTTCCTAGTCTTACCATACATTGCATAGATTTAAACTGTCCAGCTCTGGCTGAATCCCTTGGCTTATCAATTTTCTTGCTCATCTTTCTGATTAGCTACCTAACTTTTTCCAAAATGTTCCTACTTTTCAAGTGTTTAACACCCAGGTTAGAATTACTTCCCTCATGTTAGGAGACTGATGTCACTGACACAGACTCCCTTACTTGTTCGGTATATTTCATTCTGTCCTCACTGTCAGTCTTAGAGGGGGAAACACTCCTTTGGTTTCTTAGAGATAATACCTTTACCTGGGGTTGAATCATGGTTCCTTAATGTTCACAGTTATTGGCAACTAAGGTGTGTCCTGTGAGCTAAAAATGCCTTTTACAGTTTTAAAGATTATTTATAAAAACAAACAAATAATATGGACCAGCAACTGTTTGTGACCAGGAAAACTTAAAATATTTACCAACTAGCTGATGATAGAAAAAAAGCTTGAAATCTCTGCTTTGGAATCCACATATACCATTCAACAAACATGTACTGAGTCTTTGCTATGTGTCATTATTATAAAGACTGGAGCTGACCTTTTATTGCAGAAAGAAAAATCATGATAAAATAAGTGAATGCATGTCAGATAAGTGGTAGGAGAGGTAAAGAAAGACAATGGAGGGAAGAGGGATGGGGGCTCAGGGGGTGAAAGGGTGGAGGAAATCATCCTGATGAAAGAGCTGTGGAAAGTTTGGAGGGGAGAATCATCTGATAAGAGTGACCAGGAAGCTTCCGGCTTCAGTGCTTAATGTCATGGATAGGAAAAGTACACTAAACACATCCAGTCTTTCGTGGAGAGGGGGGAGCCCAGAGATAAGCGATGAGTATGTCTTATCAAAAATATGCATATCTTTAGTCTCTCCTATTTCACTACAATCATTCAGGCACGGATGTTAGAAATATCCTTGCTGTTACTGCTTGTGTTTAGATGTCCCCTCAGAGCTTCGTGTGATCACGGACAGGGCTTTTTCAGAGGTGACTGGATCTAGAGTGTGTGACACTGGAATTGATTCCTGGTGCAGAGACAGGCTCAGGTGTACTAGGATTAAGGGTGTGAGTGTTACCTGCCCTAAGTAGACTGGACAAGGTATGAAGGACATAAAGAGCTGTGGTCAGCCCTGTTGCTTTGCTACCTTCTGTCTGGTGTTTTCCGTTTCTCTTCTGTGATGCTACCCTGCCTTGGAGCCAAGGTAGCATCACTTCTACAAATTATGAACTAAAAAATCTTTCTTCCCTTAACTTATGAAGTATTTGGTATTTTGTCTCAGTGATGAGAAAAGTAATTAAGACACTCATATATCAACATTATCAAAAGTCTAATATAATCTCTTTCCTAACTTCAAAGCCAAGCTTAATAAAAAAAAAAAAAACCGTACTCACTACATTTACTTCCTCATAACCCTCACACACTCGCAAATGGATTTTTATCCCTATGGCCCTAATTTCTGGTCAGTAAATATGAGCATTTCCTCTTGTCATGTGCTCAGGTTAATGGCCTCATGGCAATTGAAAGTTCCTCTCAAACTTGACCCTGCCACGACACTGATGACCCTATGTAGATCAGCTTCTTAATATTCCACAAACTTCTGCTGTTGGGTTTTTTTCCCTGTCTTTGTTATGTTTTGGTTAATTATTTTTTCTGTCCACTCCTTAAATATAGCTATTATATCACACTTGTTTTCCTTCTCCTCCCACCAGTATTCTCATCATTAGCCTACAATCCATGCTAAAAAGCCCAACATCCAAAGGCTTCTTCTGACTGTTTCTATAAAGGACTCACTGCCTCCTTTGTTGTTTAGAGAAGAAAACTCTGAAATATTTTTCTTTCTAGTTCTCCCTCAGCCCTGATACCTAAATGTGTGATGTTCCTTTCTGGTCCTTGTAGCAAAGAAAGCACTAAATTTTTCAACCTAATGTCAGCAGCTTCATTCCTTTTCTCTTTTTCCTTTTTATCGGTACCAGGGATCGAACTCACGACTGCCTGCTTTCAAGGCAGGCACTTATGCCTCTAAGCTAAACCCCCAGCCCCTCATTCCTTTTCTCTATATCACAAATACAATGCTATTCTGCCAAACTGACTGCCATCCCTTCAGACTCTGGGAACAGGACAAAGGGTCTTCCCCATCTCCAGCCCTATCCCTGACTCACCCCTTCAAGAGTGTAAATAATGCTCCTCTTGGAAAGATCTCCCTGACAGTCCCTACTCCTCATCCTGGGCGGTTCATTAAGGAGTACTCTCCTATCAGCTGACTTGCCCTGATGAAGGTATCCTCTGTGCATCTAGAAAATGCTGCACAATTCTGGTTCCACCACTTTCTGTCTGTAGATATTCAGGGAGGTCAACCTGTGTCCTCATTGAAAACTGCTCTTAGACAGAAGATCGGCTTGGGCTGAGGTCCTCGCTCTGGCCCTCCTCTGCTTGTCTGCCCCTGTCCCACAGCTCACATCTCTACTTGCAGATCACAGCCCAGGACTCAAGACTTTGAAATTCCCAGCCCTGAATTCCAGCTGAAGCCAGCGTCCGGGATTTGCATGTTTCCTTTGATGGGGCCATTGTCCTGACTCTGTATGCTCCAGGTCACAGAGGTAGCCAAAGGAGCTATCTGTGAAAACATGAAGCCTGCAGAGATGAGAACAGGTTGGGGAGGCTACAGGCCAGGAACTGCTGAGAAGTTTAAGAATTCTGAATTTGAGCCTGGTCTTCCAGATGGTTATGAAGGTGTATGTGTCAAGGCAAGAAAACAGAGTAAACAGTTTATTAGTCTGATTTGTGACTTTTAAATACTTAAGACTTATGACAGGTAGACCACACTGGTACTACTGCATGGCCCTATAAAGATTAAGGATAGACCTGCCTTCATCTAGTGACAACAGCAATGAGATGGTGATGATTAAATAAGATAATGTATGTACTACAGCAAAATACTTACCCATCAGGACTTAATACCCGTTTCATTCCTGCCCTTATCTCACTGTCCTATTATCAGAAGAAATCCTTTGAATGCAGGAACTACTTCTTATTTATCCCTATCC